ACTTCGATACACTTATTACATCAGTTTGATAACTGAATTTCATTATTTGAAAAATATTTATTCTTACAGTACAAACTAGACAGGAAATATTTTACCGATGAAAATCCTTCGTAACAAGGTACGAAGAGGCCGCCGATGGTGAAACTGTAAGTTTGTAAACTGTGTTGCATGATGAACAACAAGGCTTTCTGCGAGACCACTGGAGCATCATACCATTCAGAACTGTATCTATGGAATACAACTGCATTTCGTTTTCAGTTAACAAACTGCCTAGCCTAATGGAGTATTAATAAATACCAAACTATTTATTCCCGCTAAAAAAAATTCGACAAGACTTATACGTACGATACTTTTCACGATTACTCACGCGTCGTTCAGGAGTTTCTCGCTGCTGTTCATAATCGTTTGGCCCATATAATTAGCCAAGAACAAATACGCGACTATCGCTAGGTTCAGAAGGACTTCTAAGAGCAGCTTGTTTATTTCGCTGAACTGCAGTTTCACTTGCGACAACTGAACACATCGTTTCTTAGACACTTTCCAGCTGCTTTTCATTCAAGAATTACTTACGCCCAGAAGATTTAGAATTAAGACACTGATGCCTAGCATGAGCAGCATGACGTAGGAATTTGCGAAGGCATTTCCAAGATGTTTGCAATAACTTAAGAAACAGAGACGCCCTTAAATTTAATCGAGACATACGAACGGAAAGACGATGAATACTGACTTTATAGTTCGACTATGTATTTTCGCAATTTCGATCAATTTTTCGTTGAACTCTCCCACGGAAGCCTCACGTGATTCAGCTAGGAACCTTATTATTTAAATATTCTGATATGCACGTGGCGGTATGTTAAATAGTGTTAACAAATCTTACCAGATTACCTCGAACAATCCAGCCGCGTGATGCGAGCACATGATAGTCATTGTTTCCGTCCCTGCTAAGACGATTGTCAACAAAGCAAAACTAATTATGGTAAAATATCGAATCAGAAAGGAATACGTATTATCATTGGTAATATACTCTGCGCTGGGCAGATGAGTCGATAACGATTGACAAATATCCATATCCGAGGATTTCGTGATCGTTAGGTATACGCAAGAACAACTGACCAGATAAAGTATGTCTACGAAAACAGATTTAGAAATCAGTGTTCATCTTTTTTATTTATTTCAACATATAATCAACACTGCTGTGACACGTTTTATCGCCTGTTTGATCGGAAACGTGCTCATCGAAACATAGAATTCTTTAATGTGCAAAAGATGAATGGACATGTCTTACATGCGAAGATGACACAGATAAACCTCCCTTCGTTTCTTTTCTTCAAAAGAATTTGATGCTCTTCCCGATTGCTCAAGAGCCGCGAGTCCATCCGCATCATTTCTATCAATTGTTTTATCTGTGCATTAGATTCGTATGAGTCTCAGTTGCTCGGAAACGAGTACCGTCGCGCGTAACTCACTTCGCTGCTTTTCCACCAGAAAAGCACGAGCTTCAACATGCCGACGAGGAACAAGATTAAGTAAAACAAGGTATTAATCAGAGTGACAATCCTTTCGCATTCTGATGTGCGCAGAAAATGCACCGTTAACTGCAACGTGGAATACTATAGAGCATGTCCTTTGCAATTCGAAAACCTGCAGGCTTAATTCTAATATACAAATGATACGATTCTTAAAAGGACGTTTGAAACAAAAAAGATCACCACCGACTATCGTCAACGTGTCAAAGTTGAAAATATCACACGTCACTAAACTTTATTAAATATAGATTTATATTGAGAAATAGTACCGAGAACATTACGGAAGTAAGCATGGTAACCATAATTAGCAATCTTTTCACGTATACCGTGCAGGACGTATCGTGCGGCCACAGTCCAACCGCCGACAGCAGAGTTCTGCTAAGCTGGTAGTGAGGATGTCAAAGATCGTCCATCGTTCGACGAGAGTCGAGGACCGTTTGCGGCAGTTCACTGATAGAGAAGCTACTCACCTCCACCCTTCTCACCTCTGCCATACTCTTCTTCCACAAGTCGTTTGAAGAGTTAATGACCATTAATGGAGTTTAATGCAATCCAGGAAACAAAATTCTGGTAAGAGATGCTATTTATAAATCGCTTGCTTTTAACCCATTAATCGATCGCGACTTACACAATGTTTTTTAACAGCGAGGAGCGTCTCGGAGAGCAGGTGTCCGTGGGAATACACGCAGCCCTCGCACTTTCAGAGACGTTATGCTTTCACGCAATAGCGCAAACACCGACGGCTGCCTCTCCCAACCTTATGGAAATTTAATGCAATTAATTAGCCTTGCGCGTACGTCTGCTTCGCCGTTTACGCGTTTTACTTGTTCTCATACCAGCATGCAACAAGTCGCTATCTGCCTTCGTACAATATCCGCGTAGCGGGTATTATAATTCTATTTCAGAACATGCGCATATGTCAAATCGAGCTTGAACGACCAGACATCTGAATTTATGTACGATCGATCTAGCATGTGACATACTGTCAAACGTTTAGATGGATTTTTTTCTTGAACCTCGCGAGATTATGCCATTACAAAAGTTTATCCTCCTCGCGGTTGTTCCCCCTTGATGAATTTTTGATCAACGCAAGCGCGGTCGCAACAGGTTGCTTTCTGAGGCCGGGTAGTCTTTAGTCCAGGCATCGCATAATTTTCCCCTCGGCCGGAAAGTGGAGCCGACGCAACCATGGTGGGATCTGGTACTTGATGAGGATATGCTAGGCATGGTCAGCGAAGGCGCATGAGGGGAATAGTAGTGGGGATCGAAATACGGGCGGAAAGGAGGGGAAGCGAGCCGTGAGGGAAAAATTATGCGCACCCTGCTTTAGTCTGCTCTCGAAGACTGCGTGGTGAACATCGCGACCCTCTAACTTACAATTAGCGTCAAATAAAAAGGTATTATTAATGGTTGAAGATCGCATGACACGATCCGTGATTGTGCTGCACGTAAATCGCAACTTTCGGGTCACATTAGAATAAACGTGACGTCTGTAATACGTACTGGTTGTACAGGCACATGTTACTAGGATTGTTCTGAGGTATAGTATTGCCATTCAGTAGGAACAGCTGCTCTTTATAGGTCCCCTGCATGAGGAATAATAACGGTGTCTGCGCTGTCAGGAAAATTATATGAAAACGTGTGTTGTCTACTGCAGCATTCTATTCGGAAACTTGTATCATAAATGCGACGCGTCGATTTATCTTGCAGAAATTGTACACACTTTACTTTTAATAGCTTCTTGCACGTTGCACTTACTCTATAAGTATGTTACGTTATACGTGTGCAATAGTAATATGACGCAACGAACGCATTGCAATCGATATAATACGCTGTTAACGTTATTTATTTTTCTAACAATTACAGGATGAATAGTATTTACTATTTAATAAATTCAATAATAATTAACTTGTTATAGCCATTTATTGATTCCTCGTCACTATCAGACCATAGTTATTCCGAGAATCAATCAAATGTTACTGAAAGGCACACATCAGAGTGAAATACGAGAAAGAGCTGTTCATCATCTACAACATAAACCTTGATGACTATCCTAAATGAAAGCTGGACTGCGTGAGAAATTCGATGAGCAATTACCGTTGCGAAGCCTCTGTTACACGGCTCGAACAGGCCGAATAGATTGGCCACGGATTCGACCGAACTCCTAGTCATAATGAACAGTAACAATTTCTTGGCTTTCAATGGGATCAGATACCAAGTTGAATTGTATCTGCGTGTTATAGAATTATTTGAATGATTCGTGCGTGTGGATGGAACAGTAGACAGGAAATAGTGTGGAGCTTACGACTCGATAAATATGTCTAGACTGTGGTTAAGTAACATTTCACCACAATAGTTATTGGCAAACATGAACGTCAGGTGCACGATAAAATATATGACAGAGATCAGGGTATCTATCGGACTTCCCAAAATCATTATTGATTGAAACAACTATAAATGGTATTAATAAATCATTATCTAAATATTCATATTTATCTCATGTATTAATTTAAATAGGAAATTTTGTGCAAGCTTAAGAGGCCGCTAACTCTCTTCTAAGGATGCACGCAGAGAGTGCAGGCCACAGGCTTCAATCTGCTAATAAGCCTGTGCATTCTGGCTATAAACTATTGTCAGTCCGCTGGATTATCACCTGCCCTTTCTGCGCGCAGCCCTTAAACATAATTCTGAAATACATTCACGCTGGATACTCACTCGTTGCAAACTCAGAGCGAAAGACAGAATGACAAAAGCCACAGCTATGAAATACCAAACCGTCATACCATTCGTCGCGAAATCTATGTATCTTACTTATCGCCAGTGCAGTAGATAAAACCATCGAGGAAAACACAAAGAATCGTTAACGTGGAACCTCACGACACAGTATAATGAAGAACAGTAGGCTCACTCACGGTGACGGCTTCTATGATTTCATGACCAGCAGATTCACCATGTTGTTAGTTGTGTACGAAAGTTAAAGTACGATCAGATTTATCAGATACAAAAAAGGTTCTATGCAATTTTTCCGTATCTCCAACGGTTTAGGAGTTGTTGGCAAAAAATGAAAATTTTTGCCAAAAGTTCATCATTTCGACGGTGAGACGGCCGGATTTTGTCAATACCCATAAAATGCCAATTAATTGTACTTAACTCATTAAAAATCGAAATTAGAAGAAAAATTCATAGAATCTTTCTCGTAGAGGACGTCAGTGTCTACAACTTCTGTATACAATATTTTTCGCTAGCGTCAGTAATTAATTAATAAATAAAATTGTTTATTGCCAAAGCTTAAATTATTTGTACACTTCTTGACAAAATGAACCTACTGTTCTTTCTTGTACTGTGCCCATGGTTGCATATTATCTTACTAACTTCATAGCCCTCACGTGAAGGTTCACTGCAGAATGAAAATCTCGATAATTGAAATTCGATCTATCCTTACTTGCGTTTATAATTGCATTTCGTATTCTGTACCTGAAAGTCGTTAGAAAATCCTGGAGAACGTTTATGATTTACTATGTGTACCATAATTAATCTTTAGACATTTTTAAAGTCGTACCTAGTTATTCGTAACAAAGCACATATGTAATAAATTATTATAATTAAGGCTGATTCCGTGGAGATGATGGATAAACTACCGATTATCAAGATACCTATCCATTCCATGTTCAACATTACAATGTACCCTGGCTGTTCTGACGAAATCTCGGTTACGTACGATAAAGCAGAGACTCGCGATTCGTTCGAAGGTCTTATCACATCCAGCATCATTGGAATAAAACAGAAAGCTGACACTAGTATGACCATTGTGCAACATATACCTAAACTTCAACAAGTCCAATTAGCAAAGTACGTGTGACGTTCTGTGATGCATCTGCAGTGAATAGACTATTCAATTTCTTACCCAAGAAAATAAAAATAATGCGAGTGGAATCATCAATGTATTTCATTAGTATTTGCACTTCGGTCGAATCCTTCAACCTTTTCTCCTCGGTTCGAATCATTTCAAAGAAATATTTCATCTGCGCTCATAGAGAAAATCATTTTTCTCCCTAGTACGTCAGTTCTTTCGTGTCAAAGGACTCACCAGTGAAATACAATCGATGAAGCCAACGTATCGTACGCAAAACAGTAGCCATGGACTAATAGAGGCTAGCAAAACTATGTACCGTTCCAAAGTAACTTTCGATTTAATGATCGACAAGATCTATAGGATTGTCACAATTAGTAGCTTAACAGCAATGATAGGAAAATTGGCAGGACGATCTTTAATATGTGTCACGTCAAAATCGTGATGATGTTCACGAACGAACGTTCACCAAAATGTTCGTTACCTGAAACGTCGGGAAACTGAACAAGATCGTAAAGACTATAATTCTCCGAACAGTTTGGTACATGGACTTGTCATACGGCCAGAGTCCAACGGCGGACAAGATCAAGCGGTAAGTTCTATACTGTTTGTCGAACACGTCCATCCTCGGTGGCTGTCGAGCAACGGCTACGCACAAAACCTGAGGTACTCGTCCGACGACACCTCGCCACGATTACACTTCACGATTTTCTCTTGTATTTTATTTTCTCTTGTATTGTATTCTCGGAACTCGACCATAGCAGTGATCAATAATGCACGGAAGTTGCAGTAGCAGTGGATTTTATTATCACCCCTCGGAAAAGTGTAGCGTAATAGACCGGCAATTTGAGAAAATTATACCCTTATACGGACTGCTGGCTTTCTTTTTTCTACAATATTTTTACTTCCACTGTGTAGAGAAGGGGGTCGGACACTTTTTCCGATGCGACTTGCTTTCAGTCGTGCTCCGCAGTTTGTAGAAGTCAGTTGTTCCTTTGCTTCGATCCCGTGACAAGGTGTGCAACGTACGAGTCAAGGCGATTCGAGGTAAAGAGTTATACTAATTCCTGCATTATAAAGTTATTTTATAAAAACGAATGACCCTGCATGGTTGTTGATGAACACCTCCGCGCAGAGAGCCTCGTCGCGACTTAATATTTACGGCGTTGCGATCCTTTCGCGAATTTTCACCATAGGACAATTTATAATGCATGAAAAATACGACTCGACGCTTGAAATCGATTCTATTATCACGCTTCTTTGACAAAGCGTTGCGTAATAGACGCTTAATTTGAGAAAATTACGGGCTTAAGAAAGCTTGTGCTTTTCCTTTATTTCCCAACGAAGAGAAAAAGTTACACGTGTCCCACTTACTTTTTACAAATGACGTCTACTTGAGGTAACGTATTACAATTAAAGCAAATGCATTAATCCAATGTATAATTAGGTATGAAATTACTGCGTTCGTTATTATCACGTAACGTGATTTTGTATTACGATAATCAAATTAATATAATTGTATTACGTTGCTAGTTCATTAGGTAGGCTGTTATTAAAAAATGATTATTATCTCAATTCTCCTAACTCTACTTATGGAAGGATCATTCGATATATTACAGAGCAACGTATTTAACAGGCTTGTTCATTATGAGCCGAGTGAAACTTCGAAAACGATATGTGTCTATAACCAATCAATGCCGTTAAATAACATTTCACGTCATTACGCACAATGTATCTCACTCTGGGAGATTGTACGACTGTGACAACAACGCATGACTGTGACGCAACGTTGAAATACATGATTTTTGTTTCAGGATTGGAAATGCATTCAGCGATTAATTCAAATTAATAATGAAGTCAAAGCTGTGGATCGACGCGATTGGCAAAGAGGAACGATGTCGTCTTCCGGGTAGAAGAGAAATTAATTACGAGCAATAATACAGGTATAGAATTTTATATTGCTTTTTAAAATACCGATTGTAAATTTGAAAAATTTTACGGTGATCGTTTGCTAT